ACATTTATCGGGCGTTGACTTTGTGCAAGTCCGGGGCAAAATTCTTCGAAGGGTGCAATATTTTGTTACAAATGTGGTTGATTGAGCATCTCCGACATCACCCCAAGTTCATGAGCTATGGTCCGAGCAAGGACAATTTTTGAGAGTTACGAAGAAAGAGTAAAAGATTACAACTCTCTAGAAGGGGTGGAAGCCTGGATATCCTACCTAAGATCTTTAAATGCAAGTCAAATTGAGTGGACTTTGGGATGGCTCCCGGTAAGAGAGGTGATACACATGTCAGCCTTAAAAGGTTATTTGCTGTTGTTGGGTTTGAGAAGTGTCCAGCTGTATGTGCCATACAGAGTTCTAAGACAGCTAGGAAGGTACCAAGTAGTACCTGAGGATGAAGATTTGAGTGTGCAAGTGATTGAGCTACACCCCGAAGCCCCACTCCCCGAAGTTTTAATCCAGCAAATTTGAAATGGTTGTCGCTACTTGAAAGATGATACTCAGGTGCCAGATCCTACGAGAGGTGAGGTAGATCCAGGTTATGCTATATAGTTTGGGAAGAGGTCTCGCGTGGATGATGAGCCAGAGTCCAAAAGGCCCATAAAAAGGCCGCATATTCAAGCCTTTGATGATAAAATCCAAGAACGGTTGGCCTAGGGTGAACGAAAAAAGGGATACAAAGCAACTATTCATGCCTTAGAAGAAAGGCTGAGAACCTCAATTTTGAGAAAGACTTGCAAGAACAAGAATCCGAAGGGGAAAAGAAGAGTCTGATCCGCAAAAATGAACCCCTTCGTGCCCAACTTCAACAGATGAAGAAAGCCTTTGAAGTGCCAGTGAGAAGTTGGAAAGACCAGAGAACCACTGCCAATCTGATGGAAAAGGTGCAAGATTATGATTCCTTCTTGGCAAAGACTGAAAAGGCATTGGACAAAGCCAAGGAAAAGATCGTACAGTTAAATGAGAAGGCTGAATCAAGTAAGGATCGCCAAGTAACAAAATTTGAAAAAGAGATAGCTCAATTCGAGAGAGAGAGAGAGAGAGAGAGAGAGAGAGAGAGAGAGAAGGCCCATTGGGTACGTTCAGAAGCTCAGCTCCATGCACAGATGGAAGAAATGAGAAGGTACAATAGAGAATACCAGCATGCAGATATTGATAGGGTGATGGCTCAGGCGAGACTCGAGCAGGCTAGACTTCGGGCTCAGTTGGAGTCAGCCTTAGATCGTGAGGGCCACATAAGGGAGATAGCCACCGCTCGCTAGCAGCAGTTACAAGATCGAGACCAGAATTTCCAGTACTTCAAAGAGCAAGTCCATGATTTTGTTGTTTATACCGCTCAAAGTTATGTGAACTGCCAAGGGATGGATTATGAGAAGTTTTTGGAGCATGCACCTACTTTTGCCCGTCATCTTGCAGCAGAGTTAGAAAAGATGTACTGTACATTAGGGGGTCAACCAGGGCAAGCCCCACCATGAGCAGGTGTTCCAGTGTTTGAAAGTAAGAAGATTGTGGAGTTGAAATATAGTCGTAGTTTTTAGAGTTTTTTATGTAGTAGTTATGTTTTAGTTTGAGTCATTGTTGAATCTTTAAAATCGTTGTCTTTTAGTCTTGTCAGAGTCTGGTAAGTCATTTTAAATATAATGTCCTTTCTATTATTGTATTATTTCATTTTGTTAAAAAAAGACTATTATTGTTTTCCCCTGAACTACATAATAGTCTGATTCATGCAGCGTCATGATACGTAGGCAATCCTCATCAGATGCGATCATAACCATAATTAATCTGGAAAAAAAATGATGAAAAAAAATGAAAAAAAGAGCGTTAAATTCAAGATGAAAATAAACCAATAAATCAATAAGCCGGGATGAAACATAAAGCCTTCCAAGATCATTTTAGAAATGAAAATGGCATTAGGTGCATGACATATAATGTGTGATTAATATCTGCAAAATGCCTAACTCTAACACGTTTGTTGTTTATCATTTTAAAAGATAAAGTAAAACAGAGGTGGTTGGTTTGTGGTTTAAACTGGCGACTCACCCTTACAACACGAGATCAAAAGGAAAAAGTAGAATGGCAAACAACAGTGAGAATGAGTCAGATAATGATGATGTCCATGGACAATTGGTTGAACAAGGTTCAGGACTGGTTGAAGAAGTAAGAGTGTTGAAGCAACAATTGGAAGAGATGTACCAAGCCTGGGTGAATGGACAAGCACCACCCTCACTACCCATAGGGCCTTCGGATAATCTTCATAATGTGTTAGTTGCCACTCAAGTACCCATCTCCATAACAAGTAATCCATTGTACCAACCTGGATTCAGTCCGAGCATTAACCTTCCCACTATCCCCAGTACCTCCATTCCGCGTCCTCCAATCGCACCCCTCAGAAATGACCCACCTACTATACCCATTGTCCATACTTTCACTGTCCCTCAACCGGCTCTTGCTCAAAAGTCCAATAATAATCCACAACTGGATGCTCATGATGCCCAACATTACTCTCCAAAACTGACTTTCAAGGTTCCAGATTCATATAAGCATACTCTTCATAACGTATTCCCAATTGAGATCGAAAAGCCCGAAAAGAATATGGAACAAGAGAAAATGACCAGAAAAATGAAGAGCTTGGAACAAACCATGAGAAACATACATGGTTTAGGAGGCCACAAAAGTGTTTTGTTTAACGATCTATGCATGTTTCCCCATGTTCATTTTCCACCCAGCTTCAAGACCCCCAAGCTTGACAAGTATGATGGGCATGGTTATCCTGTTGCCCATTTGAAGAGGTATTGTAACCAATTAAGGGGAGCGGGAGGCAAAGAAGAATTGCTCATGGCTTATTTTGGGGAAAGTTTGACAGGAATTTCTTCAGAGTGGTTCATAGATCAAGACATCTCTCACTAGCACATTTGGAACAATATGGCTCAAGATTTTGTCCAACAGTTTCAGTACAATATTGATATAGTGCCAGACCGCTCCTCTCTCGTCAACATAAAGAAGAAACCAATAGAAAGCTTCAGAGAATATGCAATCAAGTGGAGAGAGCAGGCTGCTAGGGTCAAACCACCAATGAAAGAGGCATAAATTATTGACTATTTTCTCCAAGCTCAGGATCCTGATTACCTCCATTACATGTTGGCCGCCATTGGTAAACCTTTCGCTGAGGCGATTAAGATTGGTGAAATAGTTGAGAATGGCATGAAGTCAGGCAAAAGTATGAGTCAGGAAGCCCTTAAGGCGACCACACAAGCAATTCAAAGCGGGTCAGGCAATGTTGGAAATCGAAAAAAGAAGGAGGAAGGATCCAAGATGGCATCTGGGTTCGGGGGAGTTCAAAGAGGAATAGTTCCTTCTTACGTGCAATTCCAACAAGGACAATCCAATTCTCCTCAACGTTATTATCCGCCTCAAGGTCCCCGATACTCAGTTCCCCTGCAACAATATACAGTGTTTAATGCTCAGGCTTATGCTAGGCCTCCCAATCACCAACAATGGCGGGCACCGATTCCACAAGGCTCCCGTCAACTCCGGCCGAATTTTTAGGTACCATATAATCCTCGTCCCCGACAAGAATATGTGAGAGAATAGGAGCCAAAGAAAGAGTTCACCCCTAATTGGAGAATCGTATACAAGCCTATTTCGAAAGTTGATGCAGCTGAAGTTCATTGAACCTATTATGCCACGTTATGTGAATCCAAATTCAAAAGGTTTTGACTCAAATGCAAGATGTGAGTATCACTCTAATACCCAAGATCATAGTACCGAAAATTGTTGGACATTAAAGAAATCCATTAAAAATTTGATTGAAGCAAAGGCAATTGTGGTAACAAATAATGAGGATAATCCTAATATCATAAACAATCCGCTCCCAACTCATGATAATACATATTTTATTGGGATGATTTGTGATGATCGGGATTATAAGCAGTCTGGCAAGACAGAGATGGTTGTTAGAACCATAGGGCCAGAACCAAAAGTGATAGTGAGTCTGCCGCAATTGGCACCGTTGATTGTGAAAGGTGCGAGTTCTAGTTTGAACTTGGCAGGTTCTGAAAAAATGATTCTCTATGTTCCTAGAAGTACAAAAAAGGTTGAGGTTCAATTAGGTGGGCCAAAACTTTACATCCCCGGGGACATTCAAAAGATCATTCCGAATAATGGTTTGAGAAATATAATAGAGCCAGTCGTGATCGGACCTGTTGCCCAACTCCCAGTGACAAACACAAAAGCTATTCCATGGAATTATAACAAGACTGTCATGACATACAAAGGAAAAGAGATAGTTAAAGAAACAAGTGAAATGGGGGGCTTGACCTGCTCTGGAAGGTGTTATTCACCAGAGGAATTGAGAAAAGCTAAGCAAGCCAGGGAAAGTCACTTGTCAGTGAAAGAACCCGTTGTAGAAAAAGAAGCGGAGGAATTCCTTAAGAAGATGAAAATGCAAGACTACTCAATCATTGACCAACTAAGAAAAACTCCTGCTCAGATATCTTTGTTATCTCTGCTTTTTCATTCAGAAGAGCATCGCCGTGTGTTGATCAAAACTCTGAACGAGGCATATGTATCTGAAAAGACAACGATGAATCAGCTAGAAAAAATGACTAAAAGATTCTTTGAAGTAAATAGAATTACTTTCAGCGATGATGATTTGCCTGAGGAAGGGGCTGGCCACAATAGAGCTTTGCATCTTATGGTCAAATGTGAAGGGCACTACGTAAAAGGAGTCATGATTGACGGAGGCTCAAGTGTAGATGTATGTCCTCTTTCTACTCTACAACAGCTGAACATTGACACTAACAGAATCCGAACTAGTAATGTCAGCATCAGAGCTTTTGATGGTTCAAGAAGAGACACTATTGGGGAAATCGAACTCACTATGACAATCGACCCGGTTGATTTTAACATTGTCTTTCAAGTGTTGGATATGGAAACTTCCTATAATTTTCTTCTGGGAAGGCCGTGGATCCATATGGCCAGAGCTATACCATCCACCCTACATCAAATGGTCAAATTCGAGTATGATAGGCAAGAAATTATTGTTCATGGGGAGGACGACTCATCCGTCTATAAAGACCCGTCCATTCCATGTATCAAGGCCAAGGAAGGATGTGAATCCATCATATATCAAGCATTTGAGGTGATTGAGGTGGACCAAGTGGAAGAAGGAAAATCAATTCTGCATCCCCGTCTTTCAGTCACATCTATGATGGTAGCTTCGCTGATGTTGAGGAACGGCGATGAACCAGGAAAAGAATTAGGATCCTCTCTGCAAGGAATTGTGAACCCCATTGCTCCCTTTTCGAAGAAATATACCTTTGGCTTGGGTTTTAAACCAACACCAGCTGACATAGACAGAGCCAAGGCCCGCAAAAAGAATGGTTTGAATCTATCCAATCCAATCCCTCACATTGCCTACTCTTTTGTCAAGCCACAATTTGAAGAAGTCCAAAATCCTTCTACTCAGGATGACATTGATAGAGTTTGCCAGGGTCTCAAGGAGATGTTCTATGGGATCAATATGGTTCAAGTTGGGGAGGGCCCTAGTCGTGCAAGTGTTCAGCTGATTGGTCCAGATACCTCACTCAGCAACTGGGAAGCAACTCCTCTTCCCATCAAGAAGGAGTCTTGGTAGCCTGTTTTGTTGTTTTTTCTGTATTAGGATTATTTTAAGGGTTGTAATCCAGATATTTTAGTTTAATTGCTTTGCTGTGATGTTAACCCTTCTATCCTTTCAAATTCAATGAAATGAAGTTCCATTTTCGTAGTAAAATTCTATCTTTTTATTTTCCTAATTTTTGTTAATTTCTTATCATTTTCAGTTTCGATAATGCTGGCTTTAAAAACATGACATGCACGCGGAATTCATGCCCAGATCTTAAAAAGCTGTCTAATCTCGAAATAATGAATCAAGAAGTTGAGTATGACGAAGATGAGGCTTTTAGAGAAATAAAAAGGGAATTGGATCAATTTGAGAATAAGCCTAAGCCTAACTTAAATGAAACTGAGGCAATTAACCTGGGAAGTCCTGAAGAAACCAGAGAAACAAAAATAAGCATTCATGCTGAACAAAAGACGAGAGATGCCATAATTCAAGTTTTGTTCCAGCACAGAGATGTATTTGCTTGGTCGTATGATGACATGCCGGGTTTGAGTGTCGATTTAGTGGTCCATAAGCTTCCCATATATCCTAATTTTCCACTAATCCAGTAAAAACAAAGGAAGTTTAAGACAGACATGAGTGATAAGATTAAAGAAGAAATCACGAAGCAACTAAGTGCAAATGTGATCAGGGTCGTCCGATACACTACATGGTTAGCAAATGTTGTGCCAGTACCCAAGAAGGATGGGAAAATCAGAGTTTGTGTGGACTATAGGGATTTAAACAAAGCAAGTCCAAAGGACAACTTTCCCTTACCCAACATTCATATCCTTGTTGACAATTGTGCTAAACATGATATCCAATCTTTTATGGATTGTTATGCTGGATATCACCAAATTCTGATGGATGAAGAAGACGCAGAAAAGACCGCCTTCACAACTCCATGGAGAACTTATTGTTATAGGGTCATGCCATTCGGTTTGAAGAATGCAGGGTAAATTTACATGAGAGCCATGACTACCATATTCCATGACATGATGCACAAAGAGATTGAAGTGTACGTTGATGATGTGATCATTAAGTCGAGAACACAAGCTGACCATGTGCAAGACTTGAAAAAGTTCTTTGAAAGGCTACGAAGGTACAATCTCAAACTCAATCCAGCCAAATGTGCATTTGGAGTTCCTTCTGGGAAGCTTTTGGGTTTTATAGTTAGTCGAAGAGGCATTGAGTTAGATCCCTCCAAGATAAAGACCATTCGAGAGCTGCCTCCCCCGAAGAACAAAACAGAAGTCATGAGTTTACTCGGGTGGTTGAATTACATCAGCAGGTTCGTCGCGTAGCTTACAACCACATGTGAGCCTATTTTTAAGTTGTTGAAAAAGAACGCCGCTATTAAGTGGACAGATGAGTGCCAAGAAGCTTTTGATAAGATCAAGGAATATTTGTCAAATCCCCCTATTTTGGTCCCGCTAGAACCTGGTAGGCCTCTGTTTTTATATCTGTTAGTAATGGATAGTTCCTTTGGTTGTGTTCTGGGTTAACATGATGCCACAAGCAAAAGGGAACAAGCAATATATTATTTGGGCAAAAAGTTCACCAATTATGAGGCCAAATACACTCTTTTGGAAAGGACATGTTGCGCCTTAACCTAGGTCGCCAGAAGCTTAGGCATTATCTTTTGGCCTATACAACTTACCTCATATCCCGAATGGATCCCCTGAAGTACATCTTTCAGAAGCCGATGCCAACTGACAAATTGGCAAAATGGCAAATCTTGCTCACATAGTTTGATATTGTTTATGTCACTCGCACTGCCATGATGGCACAAGCTTTGCCTGATCATCTGGCAGAAAAACCAGTTGATGATGAGTATGAAGCTTTGAACACATATTTCCCAGATGAACGGGTTAATTTAGTTGACGAAGTAGTCCAAGATGACAGTCAAATTTGGAAACTATACTTTGATGGGGCTGTCAACATCAAAGGCGTAGGGATTGGGACAATTCTGGTATCACCTATTGGGCAACATTACCCTGCCACGGCGCGACTTTATTTTTTCTGTACAAATAACACAGCAGAATATGAAGCTCGCATCATGGGTCTGAACATGAAAATAAATCTAAATATGCATGAACTGTTGGTGATGGGAGATTCAGATTTGCTTATTCGGCGGGCTCAAGGTGATTGGGAAACTCAAGACATCAAGCTTATTCCATATGGACAATGTGTGGAGGATCTTAGCAAAAGGTTCAAGTCCATCGAATTCACGTACATTCCCAAGTTTCACAATGAATTAGCTGATGCCTTAGCCACCCTGGCCTCAATGCTTCCATATCCGGGTAATACTCACATTAACCCATTAGAAATTCAAATTCGGTATCAACATGGTTATTGCAATATAATTGAAGCAGAACCAGATGGTGAACCATGGTATCGTGATATTAAACAGTTTCTGAAAATAAGAGAATATCCGAAACATGCTAATAGGGATCAAAAGAGAACTATTAGGTGACTCTCTAATGGTTTCTTTTTGAGTGGGGAAATCCTATACAAAAGAACTCTGGATTTGAATTTGTTGAGATGTGTGGATGCCAAAGAAGCTGAAATGATTATGAATGAGGTGCATTCGGGAGTTTGTGGTCCGCACATGAATGGATATGTTCTAGCAAAGAAAATCCTTCGGGCAGGATATTATTGGCTTACTATGGAACGAGATTGCTTTCGTTTTGTTTGCAAGTGCCACCAGTGTCAGATTCACAGTGATTTGATTCACTCGCCTCCTTTAGAGTTGTATCCTATGTCGGCTCCTTGGCCTTTTGTTTCTTAGGGAATGGACGTCATTGGCCCAATCGAGCCAAAAGCTTCAAATGGGCACAGATTCATCTTGGTTGCAATTGATCACTTCACCAAATGGGTGGAAGCTATTACATTGAAAGCAGTTACCAAGAAAGCAGTAGTAGACTTTGTTCACTCTAACATCATCTGTCGTTTCGGTATTCCAAAAATCATTATCACGGATAATGCTGCTAATTTGAATTGTCACCTGATGAAGGAGGTATGTGAACAATTTAAATTTGAGCATCGCAATTCTACTCCTTACCGTCCCAAGGCTAATGGATCTGTTGAAGCTGCGAATAAGAACATCAAGAAGATTCTTAGGAAGATGATCCAAGGGTCTAGACAATGGCATGAGAAACTGCCTTTTGCTATTTTGGGATATCGGACAACTGTCCGTACATCAGTTGGCGCAACGCCCTACTTATTGGTTTATGGAACTGAACCGGCCATACCTGCTGAAATTGAGATTCCCTCTCTCCGAATCATTTTTGAAGCAGGGATTGAGGATACTGAATGGGTGAAGTTCCGATTGAAACATTTGAGTTTGATTGATGAAAAACGTTTGGCGGCAGTTTGTTTTGGTTAGTTATACCAACAAAGAATGGCACGCGCTTACAATAAGAAAGTGCGCCCAAGACAATTCTAGGTAGGACAACTTGTTTTGAAATGTATCTTTCTGCACCAGGAAGAAGCAAAAGGAAAGTTCGCCCCAAATTGGCAAGGTCCTTACCTCATCAAGAAAGTACTGTCAAAAGGAGCTCTACACTTGGCAGATATAGAAGTAAAGGTGGTTGATATATCTGTCAACGCAGATGCGGTCAAGAGATACTATGTCTGACAGGGCTCTATTGGGGCATTTTTATATTTAGCATTCTCAGGTTGGGATGACGAAAGGCTATTATTCTCGCTATCCAAACACTGGTCAACCCTAGTTAGCCCTTTGAAGCCTTGTTTATATTTCTTTGTTTTCCCCTCTTTTGGAACCAATGTACTTTAAAAAAAGAAAAAAAATATTCATCATCAAAACAAGTTCATGTTCATTGAACTACGTCTGACCTGATTCTGAAAGGATACGTAGGCAGCCTCACTCTGGAGTTCGGTCACACCAAAACAAAAATCTACATTTCCCCAGTATTCAAATAAATTGGGGCATGATTTTATTTTATTTTCGATGGTTGTTCCACCAAAATGGTTCCAAAAGTTGTAATTCAGTTGAATAATTCTTTTTACCTTTCCCTGCTAAGACCTTCTGATCAACTTTCGAGAATGCTAAGTCAGTATACTACGGGTGATGCCTCAGCCATTGTAAAGAGAGAAAAATAAATGAGAGAGTCTTATTGGTAAAAACCCTCACGGGCACTATACGACAATGGTGAGTTGAGAGAAAGGCAAATGAGAGAGGTCAGTTGGTAAAAACCTACAAAGGGCATCATTGATCTATTTAGATCATCATATATCTTGGCACAAGTATGGTTAAGAGAAAGAACTCAATTTCAAGGTGAAGTTTACAACAGACTTCGAGAATTAGACGGTTCAAACGGATCAGGCATCCAGTCCAAAGTGCATGTTATGTTCATTGAAGTCAGCATATTCCCCCAGATAAGTCATTTCTTATTTCTTTTCCCCTAAAAGGGACACTTCTTGATTAAGTTGTAACACGTATTAGTTCACCTTCTTGTTTTCTTTCGCATTACTTTTTTGAGTCCCTTTCAGTCTAATTTTGTCAAAGCAAACAAAGAAAAGGCCGCAAAGTTGGTTACAATTTTTCCGTTATATAAAGCAAAGATTGTTGGGCATAAACCGTATGGGCAAAGGCATAAAGCCATCTGTGATTTTTTCCTGACGAACAAAAGGCTTGAAGGACTGAACAATATTCAAGGGTCAACAAAAGTTACTCAGTTAAAAGTTGTTTTGGGAGCAAGGTTGTTTGCACCATGAACACAAATGGTGATAGCCGCAAAATGGTTAGGTTTTGATATGAGAAAGAAGATCTCTAGAAAAAAAAGACAGAATCTCCCGGCAATTTGTACAGTCATCGACGGAGTCAGTTTTTCTAATAAGTGTAATGGACGCAAGGTCAAGTCGCCCAAGAAATCAAGGCCACAAACTGACCACCATTTTAAAACTAACAAATCTTTCTTTGTTCAGAACAGGAACAAAACAATTTTAGGAAACAGTTCGTGGAAAGACGA